AGACTGGATTAAAGTGATACAGAATCACAGCCTTAATCCTTGAGTGTGGTACATGAAGCTTAAATATATACCAGTACCTGTGGGGACAGAGCATCATCAGTAAATTAAATTTCCCATTAAATTTATGACTATTTTCCCTCCCACTCTCCTTTGTGGCAGGGAAGACACTGCCAATTTTTCCTCTCCTTCTTCCATGCAGAGTAAATGAGGCATCCTGGTGACAAAGAGAGCACATCCAGGAATGGGAAATGCTTCTGCATGCATCCAGAAGAATCTTCTAGAGCAAATATAACTGCAGGACATGTAATGGTCACTACTGCAAAGGCTGATGGTTGCACTGTTGGGCATAAATGATGGTCAGTGTATGGTGATGGCAGCCTTTCCAGATCTGTGTGTTCAGACAGCACTGCAAAACCTGACATTGCTTCCCTGACAGACCCAAACGTTTCTGAGTGTAGGACAGGCAGCTAAAGCAGCTTTGGGCTATTTTCAGGTGTGCTTCTTGTGAGGAGCACGCTGAGTAACAGCACAGAAAGCCCTTCCTCTCTAGGTCACAACTGCTCTGATGGGCTCAGGTCACCTGGGAGCCTTCTGCTTCTACAGGAACAGGAGAAATATCAGAGCCTTTCTGAGAGGTTTGTTTCTTTTCTGTTTGCAGTTAGTAATTAATGGTGTTGAGGGATGTGTCAGAACAGTCAGGAATCAGAGCAGCATTTGGGAAACGATCACTGGGTCTGACTCACAGGATTTGTCGTGGTGCACAACACCACGAGCTGTACTGATGTACTGCACAAAGGCAGGAGGATTATGGGTGTAAATAACCCTGATGTCTACTGAGCTTTACTCTCTCTTACAGAGCAGCTGATCAGAAATGCACTGTTTCTTTGCCAAAAACTAAGTACTCATGTGGTGTAGCAGAAGTTATTCAAGGAAACGGGAGTGTTGTGGAACTCCTGCAAAAGGGACTGTGTTCCCAGTGATAGTGGCTTTCTTGGGATCCTGTTAAGGGGCTGAGCTGTTTTTTCTGTTATTTTTTCACCCTGTTTTCTGCAATATCCAGCATTTGATACACTGGAAATCCAGTTTGACATAAAAGAGTTCATTGTGTCCCTGAAGAACCTTCCAGCATAAAGACCTTCCAGTGGGAGAAGGTGTTACTGGTTTTTGTTGGTCAGTTGGTCAGGGTTTTTTTGTTTGCTTTTATGTTTTGTTGTAAAGGACGATGGAGCAAGTGCAACACACTGTATGCTGGGTTTGGAACTGAAGCTGGAGAAATCTTCTGGCCCTTTTCACTGTGGTATCAGCTGCTCCTGCCGTGTGATAAGGCTGTTACAAATAAGAGCTGCAGGATCCTTGCAGACGAAAAGCGTGGGGAAGACTATTTTATTGCTGTAATTTAGTTTGCAGGAGTCAGATCACAGCCACTTCCTACAGACTCCTTTGGATGCTTTAGTGTGAAATGCACTCAGGTGGAAAGCTCTTATACCTGCAGATCTTTGACGTGGGGAATTAATGGAAGAGTTAGTTGGGAGGAGAACAGGATGTCAGAGCTGCCCTCAAATCTGCTGCTGATTACTGGCACATTCCTATGTCCAGCAGCTGCCTGCCAGCTCATTCTAGCAGAGTCTAGTCTAGAACTGGAAAACCACATCCTTCTTTAAGCTACTGAAGGGATGGATGAACTGCAGTCTAAATAGGTGGTTGTAATTTCTGTGGACAGGATGGTGAATTCTGTCAGCAAGAAATGACAGGTTTGCTTTGCACTGATGTTACCTGTTACAGAGAGACAAACCTTTGTCCTGGGAAAAGGAATGGCAGTGAGCAGCTGGGCAGAGCTGTGCCTGTCCCCTCTCTTTGATCTCTCTCCATTTAAGTCTCTGTCATGGAAATAAGGTTGTTGCTTCACAGCAAATGGCACCTGGGACCCAGCATCGTGACCCTTCAAGAGCCTTGCAGGGCTGGTTTTTTAGGTTAGAATGAAGTCACCTGCTCTGTAGGTATTGTTTCAAAATTTCTTATTTAATTGGATGAGCATCACAAGAAGCTTTTTCTGTCAAAATAATTCTGAGTTCCAGATCACCGTGAGCCACAGTGGTGACAGTGAAGTGCTTTTCTATGTACCTATAATAAATACTTCTTATTTGTCATCTTAGTATTGAGTCTCTGTTGTAGCACTGTTATTCCCAGTACTAAAGTAACTTTAAATTCATATTGTTATGGCTGTTTCTTTTATTACTGTTAATAGGTGTTTATTTTTGTGATATGCTTGTATTTCAGTAAGACTTGCCACATTTTTAGATTTGTCTTATGTTTATTGCAAGTAGAAAGGGAACCACCTTTTTTTTCTTTTTTTTACAAACATGAGGTTTAAGAGTTATTATTGACAACTGTAGAAATTCCATACCTTGCCTTTCAGGTTGATGTAACAAGCTCAGTAAAGTAGGAAACACAGACCACTTCATTCCAGTCCCTTCCCTCTTTTCCAAAAGAGAACTCCTTGAAGATGACTAGCTTGGTGTTTGGATTCACAGCCCTGTTGGAGGACACAGAGCAAAGACAGACAAGTCTAATACTGGAGGAAGCAGAGAAGCAAATCTTGGCAGTTACAATAAGCAGGGATTGTCAGCTCCTGTGTTTTCAACGTTGCCCACAGTGGTTGAGTCGTGCCAGTGATGAGTGCTTTATTTTCTTGAAGACTAGAACACCATTTCAGTATTCTAGTTTTTTAAAAATAAGACAGTCCTTCGATGGATATTTGATTGGAAATGTTTGCTTTCTTTTAAGTGCTTTTAAGCTGGTTTTTCTGGTGTGTTTAGAGGCGTCCTTGTAGCTGCTGTTTACAAGGCAGAAATCAGCTGCTGGAGAGGGAAATGGCTGTTGCATCTTGAATTACCCAGTATTTATGAAATGTCAGGGTGAGCTGTGGTGAGCTGTGCTCAGATCAGTGCACATCTAATTTCCGGTGGGGCACAAAATATTGCTGTGCAGTGGGAAAGGATCCGTTCCCTGAGATCCAGAGAAAACGTCTGCCTGTGCTTCATTCCGTGTGTTCTTTGTGGCACGTCATAATCATGAGAAGAGAGGTTTATTTTCTTCTAGTTTTTGAAATGAATTACCCTCATGGGTCTGAAATGGCTTTGATGTGGGGCTGACTGAGGGGCTGACTGCAGCTAAAGCTGGAAAGATGGAGGGGTTGGGGAGGCATCACTTTGTGTCTTACTGGTTTGGTTATGTTCTGCTCTTTAAAACACGATCATCTCTACTTGGAATTGTTAGTACACCGAGTGAGCAGGCAGGAATTTTTGCTAAAAGTAAAATAAGTCACAAAATACAGCTTTTTAATATATACAGGAAGTACACGTGGCCTAATGAGAGGCCAGAATACTCTGTGTTAGTACATAAGATGTCACAAAGTGACCACTTTCTGCCCTGAGCAGTTTATGAATTAGGTGTCAGACTGAACTTCCACGTATGAAAAGAATTACATTTTAAAGTACCTGATGTTTTCTGTGAACAGCAACTTCTTGATCATCGTTTCTCTCCTTTTTCCATGTATGGCACTGGATAGAGGCCTGACAGATTCATGCTGAATAGATTGACTGATCTTTGAGCACTGGAATACATGTGTTCCCTCTCCAACCCTTTTGCTCTGTTATTTGACAGAATCTTGGATTCTAGATACTTGTGCACTAGAATTAAATATTACTGGAATCAGTAAAATTAGAAAATCAGCAGAATTAAATCCAACACATGAATTGCTTCTACACAGGTAATGTTTTACTTCCCAGGCAATTTCTGTCTGTAGTTTGTTTGAGAGCACAAAATTTGAGATCCATTGGTGAGTTTGAATAGGATACCCATTGTGCTTGAAGTGTTTCTATTCCTAGTTTGAGTGAGCATCCCAGTGACAATAAATATGCTAAGATAGTTTTAAAATTTACATCCTGCTTAAGTTGAGGTTTTCTTTACATAGGGCTGTTTTCTCTTGCCTTTTGGGCTGTGCTTTTGCACTCATTCACTGGAATATTTGGACACAGCAAATAAAGGGTGGGATTAACACTTGTTAACTTAGTTCAATTAGTAATTTGAAGTAATGCTGTAGAAACATTTGTGTGGTCTTTGCCCAGTTCGTGCATAAGACTGAGAGAGTTTTATAATTTACTGGTAGTCAGCTTCTAAATATTTAGAAACATTGGTATTTCATGACCTTTGACTGTTGCTTTCCCAGCACTCTTATAAAACTAAACTGGATTCTATTAGCACAGCAAACAAGCTCCAGAGAGCAAAACTAGGTTTGTGAATGTTGGACTTTGCATCTCTCTGTAAAAACATTTGTTTATTGCCTTTAAAATATCCTGGTTTATGAATAAGCTGTGCCAAGAGTGACACAAAACTGTGTGAGACAGTGAAGTGGAAATGCTCTGTGTGCTGGTGTCAGCCAGCACTGGAGCTGTACAAGTAAATCTGTGGTGTCAGTGAGGCATAGAGAGGAAAGGGGCTGTTTTAATTCAGAAGTGAGCTCTCCCAAGGAATCTTTTGTCTGTAGCATCGTAGCTGGATATTGTTTGGCTTTGAAATTCTTTGAGCTGTTAAACAACACCTTCTTGCTTAGTGCAGCTCAATCTATACTGAGCTGTGATCCTGGGATACAGTCCCAGTGTCAGTGCCTGGGTTCAGGCCCACAGCTCTGCAGTGCCTGAATGTTCCCTAAATGCAGGTCCTGTGGCCACGAGGGTGTTGGGAGCAGTTCTGCTGTTGGGAGCAGTTCTGCTGTTGGGAGCAGTTCTGCTGTTGGGAGCAGTTCTGCTGTTGGGAGCAGTTCTGCTGGATGCTGCATCAAAGCCCTCCATTTGCAAAAAGATGGGGAATTTAGCGGGCTCAGACTTGTGCACTAGGAGTAACCGTTAGAGCTGCAGGACAGATTTGTGTCTGATGACTTGCATGGATGGAATTGGCTCTTTAAAATTGGTTATTGGCTCTTTGTTTCTGCTTGTTTCCAGGTTGCATGGCCGGTACCATGAAATGGCACCAAACGTTGTGCCCATGGACTACACAAAGGACCCAGATGTCAAACTACCTATGCAGCTCATAATAAACATGCCTGAGCTAAAGGTATCACTTCTGACTGCTTACAAACTGTGTCTGGGCTTATGTAGCTCGTCTGCCAAGTGAGTTTGCTATCCTGAAGCAATGTGGCGTGCTGGGCTCTTCCCCTTCCTGTCACTGTTCAAAAGGGCAAAACCAGCCCCAGAAACCGGAAAATGTTTAGGTGGATGTCTTGCTTGCAGAGCTAGTTGGGAGAGATGTTAATAGGAAATGCATGGGAAATAAAATCAAATTTAGTAATTTTCCCCCTTTGTGTGTATCGGTGCCAGAGAAGCCCGGGGGATTTCTGTGTGAAGAGCTGGTTAGAAATCAGAAGTTCTTATCTCAGTGTGCTGACTGGAGATTTGCAAGAGGCGTGCAGAACATTGCTAAGAAAAAGGAAAGGCTTTCCCCTTTTTTTCATCTGCCTGAGCACAATTGGGAGTTTTCCTTTTTCATGGAGACATTACATGGTAGTTGGTGGAGAGACAGCCCATGAGAGAAGCAGTGGGCATAAAGCAATCAGTGAAAAAAAAATTTGGGGCACTATTTGTTTTTATTCTTGTATCAGTTCAACCATTTAATGTGGTTTTAACAGGACAAGTATGGATTTTCAGCATTTATTTTTTTCAACAGTTCATTGAATTATGTTGTGTTTGGTCTCATGCTCTGTTTTTTAATGTATGCTAATTAGTTGATGTCTTTAAATTACTGTAATGTGGAAACAACTATTTATTCAATCTGGTAATTGCATGAAACATTTCTAAGCTTTTTAAGAACAATGCCCTAAAAACCTTGTAATTGGTGGCCTTCCACTTGATTTTAATGATTTAGAAATTCTTCATTAATGCTGTACTTTTTTTCCCAAATATCTGGTACTTTACAAGCAGAAGCAGTGCTTTGGAAATTCAGCTGGGGAGGAGGTTAAGTCAACACGAAGAGAAAAACATTTGAATTAGATTTCAAGTTGAAGTTCACAGAACTCATTGTTCCTTTAGTGCCACTCTTGCTGCATATTTGTTTCTGGGAAAATACCACTTATTGAACAAGAAGCACATTTCACTCTAAGGCACGTTTGTTAAAAAGTGTTTGACCAGCATTTCATATAAATGGAAACATTAAAGACACAAGCATTTAATTCAATAGAAGACCTAGGAAAAGTTTTCATCCTTCAGTTATTCTTCAGGTGCCTATGGGCAGCTGAAAAGTTTGTGTTTCTGAAGGAACGGAGGAATCATTTAGAATTCTTTTTCACAGCAAGCATGGGCTTCTCCAGCAAATTCCTAATGTGTGTTTATCCCCTTTCTAATGGCATCAGTGTTCCTGGAGGTTTCTGTTCTCATCTCTGGGACCTTGACAGTGCAGTGTGAAACCCTCTGGCACAGGTCTGTGCCTGCTCAGGGTTCAGCTGCCAGATGGCTCAGAGCTGCTTTGTGGCAAATCAAGGCTAAGTTTAGAAAAGCCAGTGAGAAATTATGGTCACACACACTCTTTTGGGCTTCAGTCCTAGAGGACTGAACACTTAAGGAGCAGCTCATTCCATGGAAACTTTAGAGATGGAAGACTCCTGTGTTTACAGGACAGCCTGGTGCTTAGGCTGAGATCTAAACCAGGAATTTTGCCCTGGAACCTGTTTAGATTGAGATCCAGGAGCACATCTTGCTGCCTTAGTGAACTTCGATGGTACTGACAGACTTCCTGAGAGACTTCCCTGTGTGAGATGGATCATAATCCATCCTCTTGCACCACATCCAGGCTGTGAGGTTGTCAGGCCCTGCTTTAGGAGATGTCTCCAGGGTCATGGAACTTGACTTTATGAAAATAGCAGGACTAATTCAGTGTTAAATTTTATACAGGTTCTCTCTCAGGCCTCATAAGGCTGTGGAAGAACCTTAGAACTGTTGCTGTCAAACCACTCTTTATTTCAGGAATTGTAGCAGCTCAGAGAGAAAAGTGCTTTTAAGAGCTAGTGAGCTTGTTTCCAGTAAAATATCAATAAGAGGAGACTGGGCCTTGTTCCATAACTCTTTCAAAGCATTGACACTAAAAGGTATTAAAATGCCACCCAGGGTCTCAGTTACAAACTGGGACCCATCTTGGTCGTGAAGCATTTTGTGATTGACTGTGCAGATGGGGGTGAGAGGAGAGGGTCTTTCCCCAGGAGTTCATTTTTGAAGCACCCTGGGTAGTAACTCCAGCTCCTACAGCAAGAAAAATCATCTTTAACCTTTGCAACTTGCCCAGACTGCCCAACACAAGTCGTTATGGTGTTTGCTTTCTTTGGGAAATTTTCATCAAGGTGAAGACAAAGCCAACATTTAAATCTTAAAATAGAAATAAATGAACTAAATGTCTATTGAATTCTAATAAAATTAGTGCTAATTTCACTGCACCTGGCTTTTTTCATATACACATTACATTTCTGGTTACTGGCAACGTTGAGCTCAATACCACTGCAGGTTCTGACAAATGGATAGAATCAATAATGCACTTTTCTAAATTAGATTCTGCTACTGTAAAGAAAGATCTTTACCTCCTGCATTAATGTTTCGAGCCAGGATTTTTGTGTTTCAAAGAAGAAAAAAATGCCGGTGGTCACTCACTTTAATTGGTCATGAATTATTCACTAGCTCACGATTCTTAAAAGTTGAAAGTCAGGACAAGAAATAAATAAATAAAGAAGCGACAGATACTTTAAGTGGATTAGTTCTACCATTACACTGAAGTTAACAGAGCTGCTTTACTCCATCAGTGTCGCTGCAGCCTCTGCTCTGTCATTCTGACAATCTTTGTTACACAGCCTGCTGTCTCATAAATTCACTTTGGGGCGTCTGGGCACCTGTGAGATTGCAGGAATTGATATTGCCCAGTCGTAGCCATGGTGTGGCTGTTCAGTGGGAGACCAGGGAGAAAGCACAAGGGATATTTTTCCCCAACTCCAGCTGATCTCACTCACGTTGTCCCTGCCATTTGCCCAGGGCTGTAACCTGGGGACAGAGCACTCTGATTTGGGGGGTGGGTGGCCATGCCCATGTCCCCAGTGTACCCAGCTGTGGTAGTGCAGTGCAGGGCAGTCCTTCTGGTCATACAGGGGCTTCCTGAGGGGAACCACTTCTGTTTCTCTCCCTTTACTTTCTCTGGTTTTTGGCTCACACAGTGACTTCATCGATCCTCACAGACCTTGTCGTTGTCTGCAGTGGGGCTGAGGTAGTTCATAAATCTGAACAGAGTGGGCAGCAGGCACAGGGATGAGCCAGGAGAGAGGAAGGACACACAGGGAGCAGGGAATCCATCCCACATTTCAGAACTGCTGTTAGCCCCCTGGTTTTGGTTGAGTTTAAACACGAATGCACGTGGGCTGCTTCAAAATGAAATAAAAATGCTTTATACAATTTGAATGGGATGGGATTTTAGGGACAATTTCAGTGGGTCTTCAGGTTCAAAGCTTTCCATGCGTGGGCAATGACCCCTGAGGGAGCAGGCTGATGTTCTTCCCGAGCCCCCACCCCTGCTCTGGCCAATCTTTGCCTCCAGCTCATCCCAACATCCTTGTCTGCATCCCGTGAGTTGTTTCTAGTCAGGATGGGATGCTTTACTCCTTTCAGACCACTCTTCTTGCTTCCCTGAAGCCCCATTTTAACTGTGGGTCTCCACTGGATGTGCTCCAGGTGTCATAAGTGAGGGCCACGTTCCCTCTGGTGAGCCCAGACCTGCACCTTCCCGATGCTCTCCAGCTTTGTCTGCACTTCCTGGCTCAGGGAATCAGTTTTTGTCACAGTGCCTTATGTTCCCACAAGACACCATTAAGTTCTGTAATATTGAAGCAATTCTGTCTCCAACCACAGTCTTTGGTTATTTGGCTGTTGTAGCTTCAGGAAACAGTCATTGCTGAACTGTCTTATGTTTCTGCTTTCTGACAGAGTGATGTGGTCTTTTTTTAAGACATAAACATATCAGTTTAGCTGTATTTTAGCCTTGGTTTCTGCAGGGATTTCTTAAGCAGGCACTGCAGAGAAGTTTGATGACATTAATATAATCATATACACATAAAACCCACATTATTGATTTTGAGGAAGAAGAAAATGAAGGAAAAAAAACCCCAAGAAACTTGCTTTTATCTGCTCCGGGGATAATTTGCTGTTGCTAATGATGCTTCCTTTCCAAAGTACCAGACTTTCCTGTGGAGCTTTGGTAATGAACAATTTTGCCATTTTTACACTAATGTTTGTCTGATAATGTCTCTACTTTTTTTTTTTTTTTAGGAATAACTCCTGAAATTTGAGAAAGGTTTGCTTTTGATCAGTTCTGAACAAGTCCTCATTAAAGCATCCAAAGGGACTCTGACTTTCAGTAGTCTGCAGAGCAGACTGGTTTGTGCATTTAAATATATCCTCTAAAGTCAGTGGGGACTTTGATTCAAACACAAAAGAGAAAATCATCATTTTCTTTCTGTGAATATAAAAATTAAGAAGCATTTTGTGATGACTTTTCAGCATCTCCAGTTTCATTATCTTGACCTATCTTAGAACTTTACTTGCAACATCTCATTTCCAAAATGCAGTCCATTTGTGGGAATAGGACAGAGGGGTTGGAATGAATTCCTCAAGCTACAAAAGAGAGCAAAGGGCCACCACAGTGCTCTCCTAGAGCCTGGGATGGGAACCAGAGGACAGAGGATTTCGCTGCAGGCTCAGGAATAAACCCTATTAATAGTTTCTTAGAAGACTAATGGCTGTGTGTCATTGTATGGTGTTCTTGGTCTGTGTGTTGGAATAGATGCCACATGAGATTAGGAAATGTAGAGAAACACAGTTATTGAGCAGAAGAAGTGATTGTTACAAAAATGGATTAGAAGGATTATCTCAAGCCACCACAGCAGCATCAATCTGCAAAGCAGCAGAGGGTTTTCTTTTTCAGTTGTAACAGTTCTTTATTGTTTCTGTCTCCACTCTCATTTTTGTTGGGAGGGTACAGAAAAAGCTTTTTAACAAGGCAAGTTTCTAGTCTTAAAAGGATTCTTTTTTTTTTTTTTTTTAACAATTAGTGCTTAAGGGAAAGCAACCTAGGAAGGAACAGTATCGTTTTCCCCTTTGCTCCCTTCCCCCATGGCTTTTCCTTTAAATATGATGGAACCCTAATCTGTGCTCTTTAGAGTGGAGGTAATGAAATTACAGAAAGGATGTGAAAAGTATCTGTGAAGGTAAGCTAATACTTTCCATTGTGTAAGCCACAGATATACTGCCTGAAGACACATAATATGAGAAAGTTAAAGGAAAGAAATCAATATGAGGAAAGATTTTATTTTTCATTTAGGTTTTAGAGATCCATTTGGCCAAGAGTTACTTAAGAAGTATGCTTAGGCCCATTTAATTCTTTCTTAATTCAGCTGTATTTTCAAGATCTCTGACATGCCAAAGAGATAACTCATGCAACTGCAATGTGTTTATTGAGTGAGTGAGACCCTGCCTGGCATTTCTAATGCATTAAGTCCCAGGTTTGATATTCACTGCTGATAGGGAGATTTGCATCTGTGGGCTCCCTGTTTGTTACCCAATGCTGCCTCTAAGATGTCAGCTTAAAACTGTTACCACAGCACTTGGTTGTGATGAGGTTTGTTCCAAAGAGAGCTACGGAATATTTTAGAAACAACAACAACAACAAAAAATTATTAACATGTTTTGACATCCGTTCTGATGTTTGGCCTTCTCAAATATTAAACATTTAACAGATGCACCATTTTTTGGGTGCCTTTAGGAAGAAAGGGGGCCTTTTCATATATTTCAGCCCAAATGAACCTCACTTTGGCTTTTTAATAAACTGGCAGTTTGAGGCAATAGCACCAGTTGTTTGGCACTGTGTGTCTGTGTGTGTATTCCACAGACAGGTCCATGTGTGTTCCACAAACAGGCACAGTTTCCAGGCATCAAGGGAGATCCTTTAAGCTCAGCAGCAGCCCCAGTTGCCCACCTGCTGTCCCTGCCCATCCTGCACGTGACATATCCTTTTACAGGGAGGTTCTCTCAGCCATCTGGCAAGTTCTGGGGTGTTGTTTTTCATTCTGAGACTCTTTAGGGAATGCTAAAAGAATGCTGCTTTTTGAGGCTGCTGGCTTTTTGTTTTCAGGGGTCCCTCTTTTGTGCTCTATTTAATTTCATTTTATTTGGCCTGGTTTTGCCTTCACCTGAACAGGGAGCTCAGCCTGATGCCCTGAGCTCAGAGCACAGTGAGCTCATTAATCTCCTACCCTCAGAAATCCGTAGGCAGGGTGCCTGATGTGGAATTACTTCAGCCACGGAACCCTGCAGGAGAATTTGTATTTAGTATTGACTACTTCAGTGGGCTGTCCCTTGAGCCTGGGACTCTGTGGTCCATATTTCACCCATCCATTAAAACAGCCTTGTTCCTGGCCATTGCCACAGCCAGAAAGACTGGAGAGATTTTGGCATTTAGGAGTGAATTTTAATCGTAGAAGTGTTTGGGTTGAAAAAGACCTTTAAGCTCATCAAGTCCAACTCTTCCCCCAGCACTGCCAAGGCCACCACTAAACCATGTCCCCAAGTGCCACATCCACAGGGCTTTCAAATATCTCCAGGAATGGGGACTCACTGACTTCCCTGGGCAGCCTCTTCCAGGCCTTGACAACCCTTTTGATGAAATTTTTCCTGATGTATAATTGAAACCTCCCCTGGTGCAATTTGAGGCCACGTCCCCCTGTCCTATTGCTGGTTCCCTGGGAGCAGAGCCCAACCCCCCCCAGCTCCCCCCTCCTGTCAGGGAGTTGTGAGAGCCAGAAGGTCCCCCCTGAGCCTCCTTTTCTCCAGGCTGAGCCCCCCCAGCTCCCTCAGCTGCTCCAGCCCCTTCCCAGCTCCGTTCCCTTCCCCGGGCACGTTCCAGCCCCTCGATGTCTCTCTGGTAGTGAGGGGCCCAGAACTGAGCGCAGGATTCAAACCCTGTCTCAGGGAATTATGCTTCCAATGTCTGTTCCTCAGGCCCCACTCATCCCGAGGGGATTGGCACACACATTTACATGGTTTGTCACTGGGTGAATATTTGCCTTTTAGCAAACTCCAACCGATTTCCACCACGAAAGCAGTCCTAGGTGCAAACTGCCAGACCAAAGACATCTCATTTAGCTGGTTTATGTATCCCATCATTAAACAGAGGCCTGCTGGAATCAGGTGTGCTCTGTGAGGACGTGAATGGCCACTAAAGCTGCTGAGAAAAAGTATCTTAAAGTTCCAGCTGGGATGGCCACTGAAATCTCTTCTTAAAATTGCCAGGTGACATGATTTGGCAAATGTATGTAGGGGGTATTTGTATATCCACACCTGAGAACTCCTCTGTCCAGGCACCCCAGAACCAGACACTGCAAAGGCTCATCCCATTGTGTGAGTGTGCACAAGGACCCATCAACCCCCTGCAGAAGGAAGGGAAGCTGCTTTCCAGGGACTGGGTGTTCTTCGAGTCACCTCACGCTTCTCTTACAGAAAATAAGCTTTCCTACATCATACTCGTCTTTTAACAAGAATCCTTAAAACTTTTTCATTATTTGAGGCTATAACAAAATGTATCTCAGATGTAACCTCAGCGTGAGTGACAAATTTTATTCTGCTCCCAAGTTCCCCCTGTGATTTCAGCTGGACATCTTTGTCTCCAGCTCCTGTTGTGAGCTGCTGCACACCATTTAACTGTGGCTGAATTTCAGCTGCATATTAGTAGTAAGTGGCCCAATTCTTGTAAGGTATTTTATATTCCTTTAAGATGATATATAAAATACCAATATCTTCAGCAACTCTGATTTTTGCATGCTGCTTCTATCTTTTTAGTCTCCACGGTTATGCTGAAAATGTGTTTATAGATGCATCTGTTCTGCGTGTGAATTATCAAGAGACAATTCAAGTAAACTGAAAAATAAGATTTTTCCGGTCATTTGCCTCTCAAATATAGCTGTTTTATGTGATTTCATTAATAATAATAATAATTTCATTTAAAATAATGTTTTGTGAGTACCTGTTAAGTAATTAAACTCAGAGAAAAAAGAGAAATTAAATGGACTGAAGTTCTGAGCTTTCACAATACTGCTTCTTTTAAACAAAATGCTGCATGCATATTAAAAATATGAAGCATGATATGCCACCACTGAAGCTGTTTGCATTTATAGAAGATCAACATGTTGATTGGTGTCTTGGCTTCTGTAGATCTGTAGAACAGCTTTGATGAGACACTGCTCACAGCCCAAGTCATGTATGTGTTCTATTTGGATTCAACTGAATTGAATTGGTTTTCCCAGTTTTATAGATACAGCTACAAATTAATTTGGGGGTTTTATACAGCTGAGACAAAAATGTTGCTTTGATACCATAAAAACATCTGGTTTGGACTTGGGAGTATTAAAGCAGCTTTTCTTATGCTTCCTTGTGTGTTCGTGGTTTTAGAATATTGTCTCATTCTTGGGTGCAGGAAAGGATCTCAGGATCATCTCCTGTGGAGATTAAATTTCATTTAAATCTCTGGAGTTTAGTCAGTCCAACCACAGGCTGGACATGGATGGGTGTCAGTGCAAATGAAAGGCTTTTCTACAAGATTCTCCTGGGATGTGACTCTACATCCTTAGTGACTGATGGTTCTGCACCAGCCAGGGGTGGAATGCACACACCGACTTTTGGAAGTGGTTTCATAAATACTATTTGTTCTTCCAGCCTTCAGTCAGGAAGACCCCGTTTGCTTCCTTGGCTTTCTCCCTTGGTCTCTGTTTCCATCCCCTCCTGCCAGCCCCTGTTTTTCTGTGCCAGCTCCTTCAGTCTGACACCCTGGCAGGAGTCTGTTACCTGAAAATCATCTTCAGGCTCTTTGTACCTTTACTGTAACATTTATAAAGCACGTGTTCTGCACTGGAGGAACGAGGGGGGCACCAGTTTAGAGAGAAGAGACCTGGGCAAGAAGTACAATGCAGCATCACGGGCTGCAAAAGCATCCAAATGTAAATTTTTGGATGCATTTTTGGGGGGCAAAAAAAAGTTGTCTTCAAAGAACCGACCGTGGAATTCTGTATTCATTATCAGGGAGTCTTTTGGAGGTTTTTTGGTCTTTCAAATACTAATATGTATATTTTATTTTTTTTTCCACAGGAGAATCCCTTCAAAGAAAGGATTGTGTCATCGTTCTCCGAAGATGGAGAGGGCAGCCTGAGCTTCAATGACTTTGTGGATATGTTCTCTGTGCTCAGTGAGATGGCTCCCAGAGAGCTCAAAGCAATCTATGCCTTTAAGATCTACGGTACTGTGGGGAGGGGGGGGATGCTTGGGGGTGCTTTTTGTGGCGGAAGGAAATGAGTGTGAGAGTTGCTGGTGACCTCTGGTTCTTTTCTGGTTCAGATTTTAACACAGATAACTTCATTTGTAAAGCAGACCTGGAGCAAACCCTCAATAAGCTGACCCGGGAGGAGCTGACAGCAGAGGAGATCACCCTGGTGTGTGAGAAGGTGATAGAAGAGGCTGACATGGATGGGGATGGGAAGCTGGGCTTTGCAGATTTTGAAAACATGATTTCCAAAGCACCAGACTTTCTCAGGTACTGGGTTTTTTTAGGATATCACTGTGTGGTGTAATACAGGAAATGTCAGACATGAGTGTTTTGCTGGAGAACTGAGGATGACCTGACTCAGTTTATTTTTCTAGAGCATATTCCAGTTCTCTGATGATGTGAAGACTAAGAGCTCTATGACTTTTGTGTGGGTTCTTCAGGAAAATATTCTGATCTATTATAAGCTCAAATTCATATCTTTCTTAAGCCTATAGCAAGAATCCTTGTTGTCTGCATAGAATGGTGTGTAAATATTGTCTACGTGTTACAAATATACATGGACACACATTGATCTTTTGTGCTGAGCAGGTGAGAGCATCTTTAATCCTGATGTTTTTTAAGAACATTTAAGTGTCCTGCAGAACACAGAACAGTTTCTTTCTTTCATAAATGAGATTTCTGAGGGAAGACATTAAAGCAAAGTGATCAGTAAAGCACGAGCACGTGATTCCTGTGAATCCTGAGAAACATCAGCTTTCTGAGAGGAGGCACTACAAAGTTAATGGGTTTTATCCATACCAGGCATTCCTTGGCTAATCAGGTATGGCAACAGAAACAAACCCTTTTAGAACAAGACACATTTCATCATTATGGTGAGGTGAGGCTCAGGAGGTGCTCTAGTGTTTTGTTTACAGATATTTCCAGCTAAGAGAAAACATTTTCTTTATTGTGCTGCCCACACAGAAGCTGCTGGGGTCAGGTGGAGTTTCCTTGAATCAGTCAAAAGGCTGTGCTGCACCTAAAGTCTGGCAGAGAACAGCAATGCATTGTGAGGAGCTGGAGGCAGACCTGGAGATTCAGCAGAAGCTGCAGTTGCAGGAGTTTCCTGTGCCATGAGTGACTTTACTGCTGTGTTGTAGAGGCTGGCAAACTGCTGACTGAGAATTCCAAGCTGAGGATGCTGTGCAGTCCAGTCATTTCCTGAGGAAGTGGCAGAGAGGAGTGTTTGCCGGTGCAGCGCTGGGATGACTGTCATCATTATTCTTCTTTCCCAAGTTTGTGATCTTCTGAGAAGATGAGGAAATGAGTGGAAAGAACTGAGTATTCAACAGGGTATTCAACAGGGCAAGATGATGAGTAAGAAGAGGGATGGAGTGAGAATACAGGCCTTGTTATAGATTAGGTGAGAGAAAGTAGAGTACCAACAAAACCAGAGGACCAGGCTACCAAGAGTTGGGAGACTGAGCATCCAGTTGCTCAGTTTAAACACAGGTCCTTGGATCCACATTCATGACATGGTGAACTCCATGTTATCAAGATGTCTCCTGCATGTTCAGGATGGTGATGTGCATATTTAAGGCAGATATTTTTCATCCTTGGCTTCAAGAGAAATCTTAACTTCCCTCTTCTTTCAGGTTCAGGCTGAAGAGCTCCTGATGACATAAAGAAGGGTTTCCTTCCAGCTCCTGGCCAAAACACTGACCAGGCAGTTTCCATATGGATAGCAGCTTCTATATGGATAGCAGTATAAAGAAAACAATTTCTTAGCTGGAAATATATGTAAAGAAAGTATTAGAATCCTCTTGAGATGCTGATGCTTCTCAGGGTACATCAATATGGTTTTTAACCTTTGGAGCTATATTGCAAAATGAAAATATTATAGAAAAAAGTCTCAGAGCTGAGAAAAGAATGTGTAGGTTCTCTGATCTGGTTTCTGTTTCATCCAGAATTAACAGCTGCAGGAGAAGAAGGTGACAAGGTGGCAAGACCACTTTTATCCGAACCAATGGAAGACTCGATACCTCTGCCTTATTGTGGTTTACTGTTCACTTTGCCTGTATAAGTTTGGGGTTTTTTTTTCAGGATATTCTTATTTTTCCTGTGTGCACTGCATCACTGACTGACATATTTGTTAATACTGAACCTCCTGATCTGAGGAACTTGCTCTCATTTTTAAAATACTGTGTAAATGTTGCATTCTAAGCGAGACAGTGATTTTGGGATGGGAATCATTGAAGTTTAATTGCCACAACAGGGACACCCAGGTCTGATGGGGCCTCTCTGGCAGTAGCCAGGGCCTGCCAGTTTGTGACAGAGTGTGTGACATGGGACAAGAGGGCAATTCCTGTAGCTGATCCCTCAGCACAGAAAGCAGTTCCTGTTCTTTGGGTTCACTGGTGCCATAACAGTTGGACACGTTACCTGTTCATTTAATGAGACACTGCTTTCTTATCCCTTTCTGAATTAATCTCCAGCTCTATTCCTGGCCTCTCATTTTCCTTTCTTCTCAGTCTCCAGCTGTAATGTCCTTCTCAGGGGTAGCCATGGGCTGTGTGCAGCCACAGGCAGGGCTGTGCAGCTTCACTGGGTGATCTAATCCTGCAAAGCTCAGGAAGTGGCTTAACACAGATCACCAGCCCTGTTTGCTGTTACCCTGGTCAGCTCCTTAATGTAGCAAAAAGATATGAAACCTAAAATAGTCTCTTCTGAAACCTTAAGCAGGTCCATGGAACAGATACCAACCCATCAATGTCCAGAGACAGTCATCATTTCATTTGGTTTTGCACAACTCCACTTCTTGTGCCCAGTTGAACGCGTTCCAGAATTTAAATTCAAGGAAGCCCAGGAGTCTACTGATTTATGCTTCCAGCTGCTCAGCTGTGAAAATTGAACACCTAGGAAGCAAAGCAGCAGCCACACTGAGAACGAGTGCCAGGGAGCAATTGGAGTGCTGGGAACCTCAGGTTTCAGAGATTTTGCTGTGAAGCGATGGGCAATCGATATTTAGGAATATCTGATCCCACAATACCAGACTGGCACCTGGTGTAGGATCCTCTTGGAAATGCTGAATAACTTAACAAAGCCTCAGATGACTTTTATTTGTGGTAAAGGATTTCTTTTTCTGTTCTTTGCATTTTTGCCCCACCTAAAGCCACTTCTTCACATCCTAAAAGGAGGAAATGCAGGATTCAAGGCAGTTAAGTTCTGTCCCCAGTTCTGCCACTGCTTGAGCAGGTGATTTGTGCTGAGCCACAGATCATTTTTTCTCTCTGCTGCTATATGGGACCAGGGCTTACCTGGCTTCTGATAAACACTGAGGGCTTTTATAATAGGAACTGTAAATTCTCATCATCATTAACATGAGACCTGCAGTTACTGAGGAGGAATATCTTCTTTGCTCTGTGGAAAACCTTTGAAGGCCAGGTTCTCATAACAATGTGCACTCAGTTTTGAAGCACTTTTTTCACACAGCTCAGGGTGTTGGTGTTTTTCAAGCTGTCCTGTTATCCTACACAGCAGGTGTTAATTTTGGCACCACGACCCAGGCTTTGACTTGGTGTGAGCTAAAGTTCATCCCTTGTACATTGACTGATTTTCCTTATCCCTCCTTTCTCAAACCTTTATTTATGACCCTGTGTGGGTTTAATCTCCCCCAGACATACTTTGTGCTGCTGTCAGGCAAATGAAGATGCAGTAAAGTCTGTTTTCTGATTTGTGCTGCTGTCGTTGAGGAGCCCCTTTCAAACTGGAAGCAAACCCTGTTAGTGCTGCCCAGGGGGGAGATCTCTGTGTTTGGCTGCTCCCAGCAGCCTGACTGAGCTGTAAATGATAAGGACACTTGCTAGTTCAGAAAATTTGATCCCAGGAGTTTTATTTCACTCAAAATCGTTACCATTAAGAAGCTGCTTGTAGTTTAATGGAAGTGTGAGCAGCCTGAGCAGTGTTCTGTTCTACAAGGCTGGTTACGTTTTCCACAGGAAATTGTTTTATAAATCAACCTGGAAGTTTCAGCCTATTTGAATGCCTGAGGGTGAAACGTGCTGTAACAACAGGAAATGGAGTTTAAGAGGAATATGGCATTAGGAATACCTGGGAGCTGCCAGACAGAGAAACAACAGATTAAACAAGATGATGGCATTGGAAATGAGGCATTTCTGAAACCTTTTGGGCCTTTACCCAGATAACAGATGTTGTGACTCCAGTCCTACCTGAAGTTCTCTTATAGGGAATGTGCATCTCATAAGACCATCCCAACATGCAGATTAATTAGTTCTTAAGGACTCAAATTGGAGCTCGTGACAAATTGGCAAGAGATGCTCAGCAAAGAAACAGGGGAAGGGAATAATTTTTATCAGTATTTTTCAAAGAGCATTTCAGCTGCTTCTTAGGAAAAAGCTGAATCTTCAAAGGCCAAAATAACCCTCTGATAAAAATAGAATTTTTTCCAATAAATAGATTTCCACTTAGGTGGATTTGGATGGAGTTTTTTTTAAGGAGTCACACCCAAAATGTTTTCACATACAACACTACAGATTTTGTAGTTCCTAGATATTGCCTAAGAGGGAGCTAAATTTTTAAGAGTTTGGATTAATATGGGGCTCTGGACATTTCTTGAGTTGTGAACAAGATGTTTATAATTCCTTTTCTTTTAAAAAAAAACCCTTAGTTCTGGTAAGCTCTTTGCATCACTCTCTGCTTTCTGTCCCCGTCCTTAGGCTGGTGTGCCAGGCTGTGTCCAGCACATCTTTCACTGTCACCCAGATTGAATCAATTCCTAGAGACAATTCCCTGAGGGACCACGGGGAATGTAAAATTTTATCTCCTCCAAATACATACCACAAGCTTCCTTGAGTGAATTTCTGATCCAAATCTAATTGCTGTAATTAAAACAATTTGGTAAAACAAAATCCCAAAACTGTACATCCAGAGCTTTTCAGCCTCTCAAATACTCCAAACCTTTAAGGTTTTCTTTGAGCATGGGCAACAGAATTATAGAATTTACATACAAAAATACATAATAATCCCTTCTGATTTTAATCAGTCGAGAAAGAAACGTCCAGTTTATCCTGCCATGACACTGAGCAGAGATTGCTGCCTGGAGACATTGAGGTTTTAGGCATGTCTTCCTAAAATTGTCTCTCACTGGCCTGCTGAGATGCTCAGGAGCTCTTCTGAGAGCTGATGGCAGTGGAAAGATGTGCTGCTTGCCTGGGTCACAGTGCAAACAGAAAGGGGATAACAACCAGCATCTCTTTGTCCCAAAAAGAGAAACAACTTCTTCCCCTGCCTAATTTGTCTTGTTTGGGAACCCAAAGGCTGTTCCAAAGCAAAAGTACCATTGGGAAACATTTATCTCTGCACTGTATCCAATAAATAGATCAATTTGCACTTGATTTAATGCAGGGCTGAGCTCAGCCCCCTGAGCTGACATTTTCAGAAGATGGAATTTTCTCCCATCATGTTTAAATCTTCTCAGAGTGTGAAAGAAGAGAATCCCTTTCATTACACAGCACCTTCCCTTTTGTACTTGAGGAAAAATATTGTGCATAGTGACAAACATGTTTAAACCTCTTAATCTTTTTCTTTCTTTTGCAGTACTTTCCACATCAGAATCTGAAGATGTTTCTGAGAGCCAGTGTTATCAGAAATGACTTTGCCAGCCCAGCCTTTCTGAATCTCAGGCACTCCAGGGGTTTCTGTCCTCTAATGAGGGCTTCTCAGAACTCAGCAGAAAGTACTGAAGTAATTCTGGTCCACAAGGAGACAGAAGCATCATGTGTTCTACAGGATACTTGGAACAGTCACATTTTTATCTTCACTGCTGGCCAAGCACTCTGGCAAAGATGGTTGGTAGTTGGGTTGTGGTTTTTGGTTTTTTTCCCCCCCTTTTTTTAAACGGTCAGAATCAGAATATTATTAAAGGTATTTCCACATAATTTTTATATTTATGAATATTTAATACTGCTCTTAAAAGTGCAAAAAAAAAAAGAGACAGAGAGAAGGGTTAGCTTTGGTGTGTTTTCCAAGAGGATTTGAAAGAAAGCACGGGCCTTAACTACTGAGATGCCTCTATCACTGTGTTGGACAGCTGGGGGTCTTGCACGGAAATTCTCTGAGGGGAAAGAACTGCAGCCAAGATCAAGCTCCCAGTGTTGAAGACAACCACAGCCCAGGTTTGCCTCTCAGCCTCTGAAATGGCAGCTGCTGGGTTTGGTGCTTACCTTCAACCAGTATTTTATGGATCGTGGTGTCCTTATGAAACTTGAAACCCCTGCCTTTTGTACGAGATCCCTTCCTCCCCGAGGTCAGTGCTCCAACTGTGTCCTTACTCCAGTGGGGCTCCTGCATTTCACTCACTCTGTGGGCTGGTGATGTCGAGTGGACGAACATGATCCCCTGGAACTCATGAAGAAGTTGAAGAAGCACAGAACTCCTCCTAAGGACATGAAAAGACATTTTCTTTCTAAACCAGCTATGCAATCTTTCCCATAAAGTGCATGAATGCAGCTCTATATTTCTCTTCCCCCTCCAGCTGGAAATCAGCTAGATCTTTCTTTTTTTTCCACTTCCAGTATTGTTTGGGTACTGGGGCCTGGAGACAATCATGTGTGTATTAATTACTGTTCTAACAGTCAATAGAAGGGCTCTGTCACCTACATGGCTTCTGTATCAAAGTCATCACCATTAAAACCTTTGAGTCATTCTCTTGTGCTTTGAGGATTTTTGAGGCTGAGCACAAACTAATTTGTTTGCTGGTCGTTATTCCAATGACTGTGAAGTTAAATCTTTCAAAGGATGAAATGTGGTGTTCTTACTGAAAATGTTGCTAGAGAAATTAACCTTTTTTTATCATTTCTGTAGGGATGGTGATGCTTATCTACCTCAGAAACTCCTGTATGGTGAGCTTGCAGGGTATTTGCTGTTCATGTTTACACACTGTGCAGAAAGAAGAAGTATTTATCTAGTAGCAGGGTTGTACATTAAAAGTGTCAGTGGAAATTCAGGATATTCAAGGTATCCAGGACAGACTTGCCTAAGGTAGCACAGTGAAAATGAAACTTGTATGTTAGTAATAACATTTATTTTTAAAATATGTTTCGAGTGATCATATTCAGTCATGTTTTTAGTACTTCAATGCTTCCTCCTACCAATTTCTGTTTAGATAAAGGAATCAAAACCTGAATTCCCTCACCCAAGTTAAAATTAACATAAATAAGTCCTGATATTCAGTTCTGATTGAGTAAGAAGATATTCAAGCCTCAGTGTTTTTCATTTTGAGCAGATTAAATTAGATGTTTTGCTTGAATCAAACTGTTTGCATGACATTGGTATGAAGAAGAATTATGTTAAAATTACTTCCTATTTATTGAAATATCAGCTTAATTTTTTTTTTTAATTTCTTTCAAGATACACACTGAATCTTGAAAGCCTTGTGAGGTGTGTTTTTCTGTCATGATTAGGATGTAATTGTAAACTACCAAGTTGCATGATTCTGGATCAGATTATTCAGACCAAAAGGATCTGGTGCTGATGACATAGGTCAGTTCCTTTTGACATCAATGCTCTTCTTCTATATCTTAAGATTTCTGTTAGTTAAATTCCTTTTTTCCTGAGAGCTGTGTGTCATTCCATGGTTAGCTCATCCTCCCATCTTAAAGGAAGACCTCAGTTGCCTTGGAACGTGCTCAGTGTTTCCCTGTGTCCTCCCTGACCTAAATGTCACAAAGCACTTGAAGAGACACTTGGGTTTGCAGCCAGATGTGTGACCTTGGAGTCATCCAGCTGAGCTGAGAAACAAAGAGGAAAAGAAATCAGGACTATCCCTGCCCACAGTTCAAGCAGAATTCTGGCAGGTGCTGCAGACACACGTGCACAGCTGGCCTAACTCCCTTTGTGTTTTTGACTTTTGTTCATCTCCTGGGCCAAAAACCGGAGCAACATCGTGTGTGCCTGGAGTTTGAGAGAGACACAGACACTAAATCCTTGCAGAGAGAAACAGCACTGCCTGGTGGGGGGTGAGCTGTTGCAGCACCTGGTGGCAAAGGTAAGGGAGAGATTCCTGAAGCAGCTTTGTGTTTGCACTTTCTTAATTGCCTGTAGTTGGAGGTCTTAGGACTGAAACTTTTCTCACAGTAAGTGTTGAGTAACCAGGAGAGCAGCACGAGGAATTAAAATACAACTTCAATCCTGTTAGGAGGGAACAAACCAGCTGGTTTTTTGCAATAGCATTATTGGCAGGATCCAGCAGATTCACTAACAAGGCTTCCTTCAACCAGCCTTGCTTACTCAAAAAGAACTATCAGGGCATTTAGGAATGAAATGAAACAGGGAAAGATTTAAAACACTTTTGGATTTGGTCTATAAGCTAGAGGACATACATTTCGTAGTGCAAAGAAAAGGTCTTAAATATGAACAGACATTTCTATATTTGCCTTCAAAAATGGGCAAAGAGAAAGGAAACCCATTACCTAATAAGTGTGTGTGTGTGTGTGTGTGTGATCTCATTTATATACACTCAGAGCATCTTGGGGACCAAAAGGAGCTTGTGGGAGTGAATAAAACAGTGTTGAAAAGTAAGTAACAACCGAGTTATTTTAGCTGATCATTATTTTAAGGAAATACTGCAGGCCAGGATTTGTAACAGCCTGCAGGTCAAAATCTGATCTGCATTACTTCCATATTAATCTCCAGTAACTCTGCTGACTTCAGTGGAATTAACTCATGTCTGTAATTGGATCTGTGTTGGGGAAAGTAGCTGGGTTTTTGCTGAGGTTCTTTGTGGCCTCTCATGCCCTTTTAATGGAATCTTAAAGTGCTGAATGCTCTTTTCTTAGCCAGTAACCACAAGCTCCTCTTTGTCAACAGGCTCAGCGTTGGAATCTCTTGCAATCTCTTGCAGGGGAAGAGGAACAGCCTCCTTTCCTTTTTTCCCCAGGGCTAATTTTTATCTCCTTGTACATGTTAGAGGCACTTATGATGAAACCTCACAAGGTGGCACCACAACTTCATTTAACTGTTTAAATTTCCCTGCAATACAGGATATGGTATAGAATCTATGGTGCCACAAACAAAAATATGAAAGCTGTGGTTAATTACTGATTTTAAGACTGCACATAATGACACAGGAAGTTTTGTGTGACTCAACAGCATATTAATAGAAAAGTGTTTTATTCAAGTCCCTGAAAATCGAAATGTACATCAGAAAAATTTAAGAGGGATTTTCTTGTTGAAAGTATAAAAGCTCATGTTCTAGACACCTGAAAAGATTAAGATCATATCCTGAAACAGCAGAATATAAAGTAAGATAGAGACAGAGTTTTTCTTGTGGAATGAGAAATATTCCCACTCAAGATCCACAGTAAATCAGTTTGGGCTGAAATAATAGCAGGAATAAAAAGAGTTTATAATGTTATTGCCCAGTACACCTCGGCTGGGACAGACAATGGACTGAAATTTGATGAGGAAGACATTAAGGGTAATAAAATTATAATTGCTCATGTCCTTATTAAGATGTTTGTCCGAAACAGAAGTACAGGACACAGTGAACAGATGTTCTCTTTTTCTGTCTGCATCATTTTTGCAGCTTTGGGTGTGACTATCAAATTCTGTGGTGGGGAAAAGGCAGAGACTGCTCTTGGCAGAATTAAAAGAGCCTCAGCATTGCAGATGAAAGTGCCTTTATTTCCCTGGAGGTTCTGCCATTCCTGTCTGTAAAAGGCATTTCCCAATCTGAACTCCCAATGATGCTCCTTTTGCTTCCACTGTCCCTCCTTTGCAGGAGCAGTGACCAGCCAGGTGTGGCAGCCCCGGGAGCTTTGCTCTTGAGTGGAGGCTCCTCCTTCCCTGCTCAGATCCAAGTGTTTTTACAGGTAAATCCTTGACTCCTGTGTACCCATTTTGCACACACAGGCCTCCTGTGCTGTTGGGGGTGTGCTCTCCAGCCCTGCAGTAACACACCATCCTCTGTCCCCTCCTCTCCACATGCAGATTGAGGCCATATGTGCCTGCAAATGTAGGACAGAGTGTTTTAACCCTGCTAAAGAGGCTTGTGGGCACCGGTCCAGCCTCCCCCCTTTTTTACTGTAACTTTTCTCCAGTGAAATCAGTGGCTGTGGCAGCCTGCCAGGAGCAAGGCAGCTCATTGCTGAGGGCTTAGTCACAGCCTGGGCAATTCAGCACAGACCAAGCTTCCTCTGTGCTCTGCACCCTGGCAGGCTCTGGGAATCGGTGGCTGATGGCTCAGGGGGTGAGAACTGAAGACTGTTCAGGCTCTGTGAGAGATGGAAAACAGATTTACACCAACCAGTATTTTTACTGTCTCGTTCTTCACGAGACTCTGTGTGAAACGGAAGAAAATATCCAAACTTCATATGACAGATAAGTGGAGGGGAATTACAAACTGGTAATTAACCTCTGGTACATCCCTGAAGCCTGTTCTGGTCCCTCATGTACAGCTCTGAGCCAGCAGGTACAAGGTGCCTCTGTTTACTTGATGGTTTTCAGCTCAGTCTGAGAAAGTGTTTCTCTGTCCAGAAGTGAGATCCAGCTTTTTCCCAGGCCTTCCATCCCCAGTGGGTCTGAGCTGCTCCTCACACCACCAGCACTGAGAGTGAACCCATGCTGATCACTGGGAATCTTTTTTAGCAATCTGTACTCAGGGTTACTTCAGTGGCACTCAGAAATAAATGGCTATCCACCAGATTTTTGCCCCCTGTTAAAAGGAAATGATCTCCTACTTAGACATCTGCTCATGGACTCACAGCATATGCTGAGTTGGAAGGGACCACAAGGATCAGCGAGTCCAACTCCTGGCCCTGCACAGGACACTCCAAGAATCCCACCCTGTGCCTGAGAGCCTTGTCTGAAAGCTTCTTGAACTCTACCAGGCTTGGTCCTGTGGCCACTTTGTCCATAATGACCTGGAGAGGAAAAAGAATAGTGATATTTTAACCAAAATGGTATTTCGGGTTTTCAGAAAATGATCATGCTGCCTTTTTTTTTTTTTAACTTCTTTTTTTAAGTTTTTTTCTTTGTGCATTTATAAGATATAAATTTCTGTGTAAGAAACCCTGTAGATTCAGAGAGAATTCCCTCTAGGAGGAGTTTGACATTGAAAGACTGTTATTTCTCTGCCTAAACAAAGGAGTTAATTGGTGTGCATATTCACAGAAATAAATTAAAGCCCAGGAAATTCAGGCAGGCTTTTCATGTGCTTAAAATTTTTCATCTCTTTTATGGCGATTTTAGTGGCTACTGTTCTTCTAATGATACAACCAAATATGATAAGGAAATATAGATAAAATTCCCTACTGTAACTTCACACGTCCTCATACTCACAGTAGCATTAGAATTTACAGTTTTACAAGTTCCTCTTACTACATATCTTTAAATTTTGGCTTTCTGCAGAATTTGCTTGCAGATATTCCTGGTGGAATGACTTAATCCCATGTGACTAATTCTCAGTGTTTTTTCCATTTCCAGTTTTCTCCTCTAACTGGAAAAGCAGAGGGAATACTTGGTGTCCAGAGAAGTTTGTGTGCTTTGAGGTCTTTTCATTCCAAGAAATCCACTTTTTTAAGCAGTGGGTTATTAATGCATTAAGCTCAGCCTGATTTGCTTAGAGGAGGGTTTTTTTTTCTCACTCTGATAATTCCTTAGTACCCAGATATCCTTGGGGGCCTGATCTCCACAACAGGAATACTCCTACTCACTTCAGTAGCAGGATTCAGATCAGGTCCCTAAATAATACTTGGCTTTATTCAAACATGGAATGCATAAACAAGAAATGAAAAACCTGCACATAATAAATTAATCTATTTCTGAAGAAATGCTACTAAGCAAACAGATTGACACAAGTATTTTTACTGTCTCATTCTTCACGAGACTCCATGTAAAATGGAAGAAAATATTCAAACCTCACATGACAGATAAAAGAAGGGGGATTACAAACTGGTAATTACCTCTGGTATGTCTCTTTGATTTTGAAGAGTTTATTAAAACATGAGTAGTTAACCTGAGACTACTGAAAAATGCAAAAAAAAATCTTCCTTAGCCCTTTCAGCTGTGCCTGTTTGGAAGTTCCTGCTTTACTGGTGTAAACAAAGAACACTTGAGGTCTCATAAAGCACACAGGCATCACAGATATCACTTTATTGTTATTTCCTGTAAAGCTGTGCCTGGGCTCAGCTCTTCCCTCTCATTTGCTCGCTTGGAGTGAGGATACTGTGTGCACAGAGAGGCTTCGGGCTCACCAGCAGTGCCACTGCCCTGCCACGGTGAGTCAGCATTTGGGAAAACAAATCCTGGTAAAGCCACAAGGAAGTGTTTTAAACAGTATCTTCATATCTGGACCAAACTCCTCCTGGGAAGAAACTTGAGAGTTGTTTGAAAATATCAGTGTGTCCTTCGGAGGCTCGCTCTTATTTTCAGCAGAGAACTGGTAGAACACTCAGTGCTCCTGCAGTTCACCTTCAGAATAACAGCGCAGGGAAAGTTAAGCCCATTATCTGAGGAGAGCCTAGAAAAAAATCCTGCCTTAATAAAATGAAACTGAGAGGGTGGGGAATCCCTTGATGGAACTCAGGGAGCTTCGTTCTGAGTTTTGAAGCCTACAAAACCTCCTGGCTTTCCCTATTCTATTTACCTTAAGATATAAGCAGGTGGAATTATTTAGTTGATGGCTGATCTAATAATCTACAAATGTGATTCTATGTAGCCTTTAATCCTAAATTATCTTCTTTTTATCTTTCACAAAAAAAGGGGAAAATGGAGGGTAAACCAAAGGAAAGAGTCAAGGTCACTTCCCTGGTCATCTCCTGATTTATTCTGCCCCAAGCAGGACCTTCAGTCACCTCTGTGGCTGCTGAGGCAGCCAATTTCTAAACTCTGCTTTAGCTCAGAAATGTATTATAGGGCCAGGAGGAAAAGACAATTGTGGCAATAATTTTAAATCAAGATTCATAGGTGATTTCTTTTTTGTGAATGGGATTTGCTTTCCATCTAATATCATCCTTTTTTTAATGTTTCTACTGTAGTAGTGTTGCTGGCTGCCTGGGTTTTCTTTTCTTTTTTTCTTTTTTCTTTTTTTTTTAAATTCATTAAATAATTTACATCCCTTTTTAAAATTATTTTGGTTAGCTCACAATAGAAGTTTTGGGGTTTGTGGGTGGCAGCTTTGATTTATGATTGTGATGCATGGCAGGGATTTATGATTTGACTGGTTTGCATCTTTAATCCATGAGCATAATGAGCTGCAAAAAAGAGTTTGTTTAAACCAGAAAAAAAAATGTATTCAAACGTTAGTACCACTGAGAATGGAATTTTGGCCTGATGCTTCTTTGAGTGCACGTGGTCAGTGAAAGCAGATGAACAGAATGGAAATAGCTGGATGAGCTTCTGGAATATTGTCCCTGCTTTGGGACTGGAGGGTGGAAACTCCCCTTCATTGTATTTCTGTCTTCAAACCAGCTGAAATCCAAAAAATGCAGAGCACTATTAGATTTTTTTTTTTTAGGAGAGCTTTTCCAAAGTTCACAAGAAGGTATGAGGTATTTTGGTCAAAATTTTGGATAGATTCTTACAGAGGATGAGCCCAAACTGCTGCGTCACCAACGGGTGAGTGCAGGGAGTTTTATTATAAAAGGCTGTATTTTGTCCATTACTGAAGAAGGAACAATGTAAAGTTTGTATCCAGAGTCTTCCAAAAAGCACAGGAGGGTCTGGACTCTGAGAAAGAGTCTTTTCTTGGTTAACGAAGTTATTCCACTATAAGTACTGGCATTTTGTCTGCTGTAAGATTAGTGTAATTAAGTGCAATTAATGTAATTAAGTTTGTCCCAAAACTGGTCTTTTGGGGGGAGTTATTTCTTCTTTTACTTAAATTTGTTTAGTCAGCTGTAACTGCAAATGTGTGACAATACCTTGAGGATGTCTGAACAGAGGAATAACAACCAGGAAATCCTACCTTGGTGTAACCACAGTTACTGCCTCATGTCCTGCCCCTTTACTCCTTCCTCCAGGAAATTTATCACTTATTTCTTTGGGAATTGTGTCTCCTTTGGGACTGAAGAGCCTGGATCAACACTTAGTGCCCTGGCAGTAATTAAGCCATCTTAGTTGTCCTCATTACTCCTTACTTATTTTCAGTTCTTTCATCAACCTTCTCCCAGGTTCTCCTTCTCTTCTCCTTCTCTTCTGTCAGCCCTCTCTCCTTTCTGCTGCCTTTCCAGAGTGCTGGGCAGGAGTTATTCCTTTTTCAAGCAGAGGAGACAGAAATTTGAAGAGACAGAGCCGAAGTTCTTTGTTTTAATAAACCTGATGTCGCCATATACTCCCCAGACCCTGTCACTTCTCGTGAGAGATGAATTCCAGATGAAAACTCCCCAGGGATCCTTTGGGAAAGCTGCTGCTGTGTGCAGATGTTGCATGCAGGAAATAACTGGGTTATGTCAGTGCACAGCAGTCCTGTGACTGGGAAGCTGTCTGGGAAACCCTCGAGATTAATTCAGTGAAGCCTTCAGAAGATTCCAAACAAAAGTGTCTTTTTCTAGGATATGGATCTCTTTTCCTAGACTTTTACAGAATTTCCATTGATACTGGTGCAACAGGGTCAGAACAAGTGTTTCTCACTGCCAGGTAAGCCAGTGGTTTGATGTAATTGCCAATTTGGCATATATGGTTCTAGCAAAATTGGATACAGGAGAGCAGTTGTCTGGATATGATGGGATAATTTTCCCCTCACATTTTCTTAGATAATACTTGATAATATTTGATATCTGCCTCAGCTGGAAAGGTCTTGGGTTTAGTTTGGCTCTAGATTTGAATGTTATGACTTACTCTTGAATCTGTATTTCCTCAGTTTTCCTTGTGCTTCCTGTCTTTATACAAAGCCAAAGCCAGAAGTTCCAAAACAGAAACCCACAGGAAAAGCAGCTCTGCTAATGTTTGTCTTGAGCAGAAACAAATAGCAAGAGAGATTTCCTGCAAAATAATTTTCTTGTGACAAATGTAGCCTGGATTCTAGACCAAATAGTCTGGTTAAATCTGCCTATTTTTAGGTCAGATTGTATCAGTTACTGATTTTTATTTAAAACAAAGGTAAGTGTTTTTCAGTTAACCATCTGTAGTTTTTTCAATCCCATTCAGCTTTGACAAATACATTTAGCCTTTACTACAATATTTGATTTATTTCTTGCAAAGGGGTGAATGGACCTGTGATAAAGATAAAAATTCAAGAAGTAAAATTATTTGGAGAAAGCTTATTTGCAAAGAGCTGGTGTGAATGATGTAACTTTTAATTAGTATGTTAAGCACTTCACAAAAGTTTTGGGTTTTCACAGCAAAAGGAAACTCCCTGTCCAAAGCATTTAGACTGGAATTCATCCCACTGAAGTTCAAACCCTGAAATTGTTTGCTCTCCCTCAATATCTGCTGCTTCCCCATTGATAACAGATGGAAGCTGGAGCAAATACATTTATCACTTGCAACATGCCTTCCATGTGTGGATCACACTGAACTTGCCACTGCAGATTTAAGCCTCAGTTAAATATCTAAAGATTAGGGAGATAAATGTGAGCTTTCTGGACATTCCAAGTGAAGATAAAAGGGTAAGAAATGAGAAAAGCACATCTGGACCAGGATTCCAGCAGTGGGCACTGGTGGCACTGGGGCTGTGTGTAAACTGGAGCTGTGAGCTAATACAGACTCATCCACTGAGCTCTGGGCTTGGAACTGCTGCAATTCCTGGGAAAGACAACTGGAATGAGGCAGTGAAGGTTTCCCAGTACACCCATGACTGCAGTTATCCCACAGCAGCACTGAACCTTGGCCATGGGCTGTTCTGTCTTTGGAGAGGTTTCTGCTGGGATTTCAGTGGAGGGAGGGAAGTGACCCACACCTGCTGAACACGGAAAGGAGGAAGTTCAGGAGCTACTGTGGAAATGTAGTTTTGTGGTTGCAGGTGAAAAGGTGTCAGCCAGGACACAGTGGAGTCAGAGATGAGTAAGAAAGTCAGGAAAGGGGCCACAGTGTGACTGACAGGTGAGAAAACTGGCTGGGCCTCTGAAATGTGCTGAAAGGAAGAACAACTTAAACACTAATGGACTGTGTAACTGCTGTTTAGCAGTTGTAATCTGGTGTAAATCTGGGTTATCATAGAACCCTTACTGGGTACTTCTGTAAGTCCCCATTATATTCAAATATTCACATATTATTCGATTCTCCACTGGAAATCAAGTATTACATGGAAGTATATCCATATATATAATAATATAAATAAAGAAGTCCATATCCATGGGAGTAAGTTCCACTGTAAGCAGCTGAAACAATTATGTTTTATTAACTGTGTCATTATATGTGTTTATATCTGTTACCCATTAATCTTTGAATCTCCACAACAGTACTGTAAATTCTTCTGTTTTCCCTCTTCAGCATTCCTGTCAGGCACTGTAGCAGTTCCCCAGCCAGCCTGGATCCACAGGAATGCTGACAGGCCAACGATTATGTGCATATGGATTGCTCAGCTCCTTGCCACAGTTAAGTAGTTCCTGCTTTTCTATTCATAAGGGGTCCAGTTGGACTCCCTCTCCTCTACAAGGCTCCCAACTTGCCTGGATATCTTCACAAGTCAGATCACAGATGTCCAAGTAGAAATCAATGCTGCCATTCACTGAATTGTATAATTGTTGCCTTTTCACAGTGAAGAGTTCTTGATAAGATGCAGTGCAACAACAACAAAAAGTAAAATCAGTGCATTTAATGTTGTCATATTCTGAACTGGGCTTAGATGAGACAGTTAAATGAAGTTAAATAAGATCTTTCCTACTGAATCAGAAACTGCAACTAAGCTTCCCTGCTTATTCACTGCATCTTTTTTTCATTTTGAGAGGGGAACAAAAATGGGGAATGTGCTGGAGGAAAGGAGCACCATCTAGTGTTTAAAGAATAATGCTGGAGAAGGAAACATTGCCATCAGTTAAAGCACAGACCGTGGAATTCTCTGGCTGACTTGTTTGCATATAGGAAAACAAAATATTCTGGAAATGTAACAATATGCTGTTCTTCCTGGGCATTGTGGTGCCTGCAGGATGACGTGTCAGACTGCATCAGGAACAGCAATTTGGAAAAATATTCTGCCTGTTTGTCTGTATTGGTGAAAGGAGAAGCTGAGGAAAGTTTTTTGTTCCCCACCTCCAAATAATTTAAATACTAGCAGGCCAAACCCACTCAGCCTTTGCAATAATGTGCAATACAGGAGGTGAGTGCTGTACACAACCCTTGCCAGTGACAGTCAGGGGTAACACACTGCAGGAACCTGCAAAATGTTTATCAAAATGCAGCAAAAGCAGCAGTTAAACCAACATCCCAGCAGGCAGGTCTGGACTGACACTGGGGGGGAGAGGATTTGGGGGGCAGTGTTGTCTGTAGTTCCTTTGTTCTGGGAGGCAAAACCCGACAGATGTTCTGTGCAAGCTCTGAACTCTGGGGTTCATCTCTAACTGAATCCCTGCTTCTGAAAAGTTATCAGACAAGAGACAAAGTCATTTTTGCTTTCTGTTTTGTGAAAGGAAGCAGTGTATGCCCTCAGCCACTCTAATTTTGGAGCGTGATCTCACTTTCCCAAAAGCGCAGTACAGATGTGCTGCTTGTAATTCATTGGTGTTTCCTGTGCTTCTGTAAACATGACAGCATGAGCCTGGCACACACACCAGCTGGGCTCTCTCTGCCTCCATAGTAATGAGAGACTCCCTTTTTTCTTGCATATTTACCTGTTTTTTCCAGAATAAAACGTGATCTTATGATCTGCTTACATTCATTATAAGATAAAGCCATTACAATTATAGAGAGTTAGACCAGTCTCTCATTTTTGAGAGTAAATATATTTCTATTTTCATGTGTAGTGGATGGCCTTGTCAGCCAAAAGTGCTACTACTAAAATATTAGTTAATTTTTGGGAGGGAAGAAGACATCAGAATAAAAGGGAATTTCAAGTATTTTCATGTCTGACAAGCTTTGTAGTCCTTTTGGGAGTATAACCACTGTTTGTGTATGTGTAACACTGACTTGCCTGTTGCACTGTGCTTAGAAGTTATGTGCACCCCAAAAGCTTCAGTGGCCCTTGCCTCTGGGCAGGGGGGAAATCCTGTCTTGTGATATTGTTATTTTTATTTGTGTTCTAGACATTTCTTAGCAACAGAATGTCATCTGTGTCACCTGTGCATCCAGGACAGGAAAACATGAAAGGAAGAAGCAGGTAAAGGAAAAAGTATTGTTTTCATTTATATTCACCACAACAACTTAGACACAAGTTGCTGTTATTTACCAGTCCACATCTGGATTTGTTTGTGAAAATAAAGGGCCTACATGAAATAAGGAACTTATTTCCCAAGAAGGGGAACTTTCTGTTTACATGAATCATTTGTGAAATTAGGGGGTTCTCCTGCTGTGTGTTGTAAGGAAGCTGAACAGAAAATTGAAAAAGAGAAGTAGTGCCCCCAAAGTTTTGAGGATTTTGGATCCTCTGGTTCTGGGATTTTCTGCAGGACGTAATCATTGACAGCCAGCAGGAGTCAGGGGTGCTCTCCAGGCCAGGCTTCACCCAAATGATGAGATCAGGGGTGAGTGCTGGGGCACTTCAACTTGTCTAAATGACTGAGATAAGGAACCAGCTGCTTCTAAAGAGAATCAGTGTTTTCTCTGTACCTTGCCAAGAAAGATGCCACCAGAAGAGCAAGAATACTCTGTATTTGGGGAACAAGATGCTGAGAAGTATATATGGAAAAACCATTACTGACCTGTTATTAAAGCAGGATCAGCCCTTCTTACTGTCTGCATTTACTAAGAAGTCCTCACCTTTTGACAGCAGAATCACAGAATCTGATATTCTAGCCTGAAAAAAGAGGGAAAAAAATTAGTCTTAGTTTGCAATGTTTAATCTTTTAGTGGATCCAACTTCATGTCATGTGAGCTGACTGGGGAGATAACCTCCACACCTCAGTTGCTGTAAGGAATCACTCCTGTTTCTCTGCCAACACTGGTTATCTCCTCCCTCGGCACTTCCCTTACCAGTAGGTGATACCTGGAGGGGAGGACTCCAGGAATTCTGCAGTCCCTTATGGCAACCTCCAGGTAGAACCCATGGACAATCACACTGAATATTCAGGTGTTTTATATCCTTTACATCCTTTAGCAAGGAATGAAAATGTTGTCTGGCTGATGAGATGGTTACTGAGAAATGAATCAAGGCATTTAGAAATGAGGACAGAGTAAGAAGCTCTGGGGAATTTAGGATTTCTGGGTCACTTGAACTTCCAAACTGTCAGAATTCAGTCAGATGAACCTATTTCATAAATAGCATTAACCTAATAAAAACACCATTGCAGACATCAGCTCCAGCCATTGTAACAACTATTTTGACAGCAACCCTTTTGTGCTGTATTTAAGGGTGAGAGTGAAAAGCTGAATGTCATTAAACATGGAACAGTCTCCTCCGAGTTTTGGATGAATGTGCCACATCTGACTGTTTTCTGTATTTGTAGCCAGAGCATGTTTGAAGGAAGTAGGCACACACTGCATTCCAAACATAAGGAAAAATGATGTGAAGTTACCAGTGGCAGTTTGATGCCTTCACAGTGAAGTTTTCTATTGCAGAAGTTCTCTATCACTAACACCAGAAGTTCCCTGGAGGGAACAATTATATAAAAACACAGTCTGGTCCGTGGTCATTCACGAGTCTAAACCCCATAAGCTGCAGCTTTTCACCCACTGATGCCGCCTGCATTTTCCGTACTTTCCCCCCACTCCTTCGGCTGCTGCTGCGTTGTCAGGCAGGGATAGGGCTCGGGATGGGAGACGACACGAGACTGCAGGAGAAGGGCGTTAATCTGACCCTGGGCTAAGGGAAGCATTTGGAGAATCGTTTTTGGGCGGTCTCAGCAGTAAAACAGCGCACGGTCCGTGTGGAGCGCGGGGAGGCAGCGCCTTCCCCCGCCAGCAGAGCGGCTGCCGGGCAGGGCCGGGGCCGGGGCCGGGGCCGGGGCCGGGGCCGGGGCCGGGGCCGGGGCCGGGGCCGGGGCCGGGGCCGGGGCCGGGGCCGGGTCCCCCCGCTCGGGGCCGGGGCGGGTCCGAGCGGTGCCGGGGCGGGGCGGCCCCGGGGCGGGACCGCACTACAAGTCCCGAGAGGCCGCGGGCCGGGCCGGCCCCGCTCCCTGCGCGGCCGCGGCGATGCCGGCGGGCTCCGAGGGCGAGGACGGCCCGGCCGGGGAGCAGCCCGGCCCCGGCGGCCCCAAGCTCTGCGGGTACCTGCAGAAGCTGTCGGGGAAGGGGCCCCTGCGCGGCTTCCGCACCCGCTGGTTCGTGTTCGACCCGCGCCGCTGTTACCTCTACTACTTCAAGGGGCCGCAGGAGCCGCTGCCGCTCGGGCACATCGACATCGCCTCCGCCTCGTTCAGCTACCACCAGCCCGAGGCGGGCGCGGCCGCGCCGGGGGACGAGCCCCCCGCCTTCGAGGTGCACGGGCCCGGCGGGGCCGTCGCCGTGCTCAAGGTAGGCCCGGGACTCATCCTCGACCCGGCCCCGTGCGTCCCGGTCCCCGGTCCTGCCCCATCCCAGTCCCCATCCCCGCCCGGTCCCCCTCCCGGCCCAGCCCGTGCCCTGCCCGCGGGTTTTGCCCGCAGCCGCCCCGCGCTCTGCCCCTCCGTGCCCCGGCGCGTTGGCACAGGCAGGGAGGTGCCGCTTCCAAACAGGGGAGCGGCACTGCCGGGCTGTCCCCGCTGTGTGCTGCGGGTCGGAGTCCCCTCCCCGGGTCGGTGTGTGTGGGTGTCCCCTCCCCGGGTCGGTCGGTGGTGTGGGTGTCCCCTCCCCGGGTCGGTCGGTGTGTGTGGGTGTCCCCTCCCCGGGTCGGTCGGTGGGTGTGGGTGTCCCCTCCCCGGGTCGGTCGGTGGGTGTGGGTGTCCCCTCCCCGGGTCGGTCGGTGGGTGTGGGTGTCCCCTCCCCGGGTCGGTCGGTGGGTGTCCGTGTCCCCTCCCCGGGTCGGTCGGTGGGTGTCCGTGTCCCCCGGGTCCGGTCGGTCCTCCCGGGTCGGTAGGTGGGTCTGTCCCTTCCCGGTGGTAGGTGGGTGTCCCCCTCCCGGGTCGGTCGGGTTTGTCCGTGTCCTCCCCGGGTCGGTCGGTGGGTGTCCGTGTCCCCTCCCCGGGTCGGTCGGTGGGTGTCCGTGTCCCCTCCCGGGTCGGTCGGTGGGTGTCCGTGTTCCCTCCCCGGGTCGGTCGGTGGGTGTCCGTGTCCCCTCCCCGGGTCGGTCGGTGGGTGTCCGTGTCCCCTCCCCGGGTCGGTGTGTGTGTCCGTGTCCCCTCCCCGGGTCGGTCCGTGTGTCCGTGTCCCCTCCCCGGGTCGGTCGGTGGGTGTCCGTGTCCCCTCCCCGGGTCGGTGTCCCCAGCGCCCCTGTGAGGGAGGACACGCCGCTGCCGAGCGCGGTGCGGGACGGGCTGAGGGGCTTCTGGGGGGAAACGAGTGGGTGGAAGGAAAAGATTTCCGAAGAAATCTGGTGGGTTGTGGTTTTGGAGGCAGAGAGGGAGGGGCCGGGTCCCAGTGTTGGGGTGTTTATTCTGCAAAGATGATGCGTGGCACAAGTCTGTGTCTGGGTTGCATTGGGAGGAAGGAAGAGGAGGGAGAATTGTTTCCTGAGAGTAGCAGAGGCTCCTTATCTGTGCAAGGACTCGGACCTTCGCAGGGCGAGAGGCGAATGTGGGGATTGTTTTACATATCTTTCCTCTATTGTCACGCCTAGGGAAAAAAAAAACAACCGAGGAAACCATTTCCACTCAGTAAAGAAGAAATAAATCCTCCTGAGTATCCGTGATTTTTGATTGCTGTTGAGGCAGATGAGCCCCTCAAGGAACGTTCTTGTGCATTGAGTGTGACTTTTCACGTGAATTTTGTACTTTTTGAGCATAATCCATTAAATTATTAAACAGTAGCACTTGCTGTTGAATACTGGAAGATATCTCTTACACACTTCTTTAACAGTGGAGAGTTGAGCAGTGATAGCAGGTGCTGAGATTGTGGGACGTGATTGTATCAAGCTCTTCAGCATTCTGTTTTGAGAAGTAGAAACGTCAAAATACAGAATCATCAACATACTTTACTGAAGAATAAGCAGGTTATTTAACTAGAAAACTAATATGATAATAATTTTAACTTATTTGGTGAAGGAAAAGCAGTGCAATCACATGTAAAAGCTACTTTTGTATAGCCTCAACCAAAGACTTTATTGCTTTCTGTAAATCTACTTTTGTAGCCTGAGTATCTGTGTTATGCAAGTTAAAGCTGCAGACTTGGTGTGAGCTTTGCTTTTTGGTAGCTGGAGAGTGTTTTGCTCGGTTGGTTTTTTTAATTAGCATTTAGTGATTTTTTGTGTGGAAATCTTCAGAAAGATATTTAATGCGTATTTTTTGTTGTGAGGATCCTTTTTCAGTAGGAGGGCCTTTACTGAGGACCGTGGGATTTGTGATTAGGAGTGCAGTGGGATATAGTATCTGCCACCTGTGTAATAAATAACTAGTCTGTCAGGCAGACAGGAGGAGCCTTGGGTGTTTTCTGCAGTCACGAAGACACAAATCAAACCCAACACTGATGCAGAAGTGTCAGGAACAGGGGGTTTCCTTCTACGTGTTTTTCTTGGTATCTTTTGGTCTGTGATGCTACTGCTCTGCCCATGTCTTTTGTATCAGGGGTTTTTTCTGTACTCTAGGAAAGAACCTGCATAGATTGGAGCTCTCCCCGGGTTTCCCTTATGGGGATTGAGAAGAGGTGCCAGTTAAGAAAGTAAAGTTCATTTCTGTAATTAGCAGAAAAAGCTGATTTTGCTTTGTGTGCCTCTTGTGTTACGATGATTGCCCTAAAGTGGCTGAGTGATTGTCTGTAAAAATGCTCTTACAGGTGTTTGTGCACTAAGTCAGGAATTAATGAAGATCTTGAGGGATGTTGCAGGACCTACTGGCCTTCCGTGGCCATGTGATTCACCAAGGCTTTTGCAGCTGGAATTAATTTTCTTCTACCCAACATGGTAGTTCTTTAAGGCCTCTAAAAACATCCTTTGGCTAAATTAGGTAGATGTGGAATTAAGAATTCAAAACGTTAAAAAAAAAAAAATCAACCCCAAACCTCCCCCACTCTGATCCAGCCCCTGTTAAAAACAAATGTGATTTAGTCTGTCAAGAAAACATTACACACAGAGCACGAGGAATAAGGTGAAGTCAAATGGATTCTTCACCCTGTCACTCACATGCCTTGTTTTCCTCAACTTGCTGCGTGTTCAAAATTTCCACATCTTGTGATCTGGCCTTTCCCAGTCAGGATTGTGGACTCAGAAGAGCAGTAGGAAATTCCAGATTAAACTGATGGTGCTGTTGAGGAATGCATTATTTTTCATAATGCCTCAGTTTTTGGTTAATGTAATGATTTCATCATCTGGATTGCTCAGTCTTCTGTCATTTAATGGGAGCTGAGGGTTGTATGATGTACTCAGTCTTTGTTTCTCAGATAACAATTTTGGGAGAAACATATTGCTGTCTTTACAGCAAATAAAGCAAATTCTTCGTGTTTTAGGACTGTAGATAACCAACCTGCCACTTGTGTGATTGTAGCTTTTCTCTATGTTTCCAACAGTTAAAGTACAGTAGAAGAACATAAGTGTGTGTAAAAAGCTTTTCTATTTAAATATATATAACAAGTACCACTCCTTTAGGTGAAGAAGCTCAGAAAAATTGTGTACTTTATGAATTATGGATAGATGACGTTTGAGGATATTTTATGGGAGGCATGCAAATCCTGATCCTGCAGATACTTGGTGTAACAGAACGCTGGTAATACAGTCAAGTGAACATTTGGCTGTGTGCACACAGTGAGGCCTCTCATGAAGGGGGGAAAATATATATGTATATATATATATTTCTAAATATTTTTAAAGCAGTGTCTTGTAGACACACAAAGAAACACTGGCCAGTGATGCTGGACTGTGTCTGGACACTCAAGTGTGGGTGACCTCTCTGTGAACAGTGGTGAGCTGGGAGGGGAACAGAAATTTTTTTGAAAGAAAAAAATCTTTTCTGGGTTATTGGCCGAGTGTCAGCATTCCAGGCACTGCAGCTTTCAGAGCCCAGATCCTTGGAAGTATTGGACACCAGACTTGCTGAAAGGAGGATTACTTTGGAGCTTTTGCTCTAATTTGTCAGTGCTCTGGAAGGATGTGGGTAATGATGGGGGGTTGAGCTTTGCTGTGGGAACTGAGGCAGATGAGAGGGTGGCTCAGCTGTGAGGGTGATTTGTTGCCTGAGCTGATGCTTTTTCCTTCAAACTCTGCTGGTTAGTGGTTGCAATGCTTTAATTAAGAGTTGGGCTGCCCTCCAGACAAAGCCATCTGGCTCCAGGTTTGCTGTTTGAGTGTAGCAGGATTAGTAAATCTTAAGAAATGCAAACTTTCTGGTGATTAAAAAAAAGCTCAGGGGAGACTTTACCTGTGTTCAGAGGAGGACTGTGGCAAGAATTCTCGTAAGATTCCTCAAAATATCAGGTCTTGTTGCATTTCTTTGGACTCTTCAGTAAAGTGTTTAATGTTGGCATACATATTCCACTAGCGTGTCCAGGTAGAGGAAGCCAGAGGGTGGTTGTTTTTTCCAAATAATTCTTCTGCTTGTGTCGTGTGTGCATCAGAAGGTGGCAGTTCTTGCATCATTCTTAGTGGGGGGATATAGGGAGTGGTTTTAATTAATTAAATGATAATAATTTTCCATCATTGAAGTTGAAAACTGCGTAGTACTGTGTGTCTCTTCACTTAAGTGTCTCTTGCTGCTACTGTTGCCTGTAGGTTTGCAGTAGTAATTCCTTTTTTTACACCAGTTTGGGTGGCATTCATGGTGGGTTTTTTTCTCCCAGAAATGCCTCTGTTAAAATGTGGCTGGTGTGGTTCTGCAGTAAGAAAGCACCTTAGCAATAGTTTAGTCCCAATAAGGATGTTTTGGTGAGATTTGATTGATGCTGCAGCTGGTTAAATGTCCTGGCTCTCGTGGTGGGCAGTAGCCAAATACTCAGAGAAGTCATGAGAAATGGGGCAAGCATGGGACTGTTCCTTTCTTGGACAGGTAAAGTGAATTAAAAAAAAAAAGTTTGCAAATTTGTTGTGTTTAGGAGTGGGGGAAGAGGGAGACGTAACATGTTCCGTGTGTGTTGGGGTTTTTTTTAAACTGTCCATTTCAAACAACAGCTTCAAAGATTAATTTTGTTTAAACAAAACTCATTTAAACAGAGATTTTCCAGGATAGTGTTTTAACTGTAAATAACTAAGATGCTTACATAAACTCAGCAAAAACCGTTGGAAGGGAGTGGAAAACTCTGGAAGAGAAGGCAGGCTGTGCGTGGGAAGGCAGGAAGGTGAGGTAACGGCCAGGTCAGGAGCAACTGGGAATTTAAAAGCAGCCAACAAGGAGCAGCTCCATTTAAATTAATTCCCGGCTCTCCAAAGATGACTGGGGAGAGAATAACGGGGCAA